AGCCCTTCACCCCATGCTGGCCCTGTCCTCTACTCCTCTGTCCTAGGTAAACACTAACCTCTGCACATTTTCTTCCCCATTCCTTCGCCCTGCAACAGCTAAGACTTGGGTGCTTACTATTTGTTCTCTGCACTTCACGGGGGTCTCTCATAAGATATCCATTGTCACCCATGATGACCAGTTTCCTGCTGATCAAACCATGTTCCTTCTGCCCTTCAAAAAAGACTCCAGAGACCCCATGACATAGGAATTACATAAGTACAGTGCCCATCAAGGCCCGCAAAGTCTGGTCTTCACTGAATTCTCTCTCCTGAGCTCAGTTTGAGCCCCTAGTGTCTTCCACCTGCACCAGACAGCCCATGTCCTCTGTAGCCCTTGTCCTTTTTGGAATGACTTCTCTGTTTTGGGTATCTCATCCTGTTTTAAAGGTGTAGATCATATGTAGAAACTCAGTGATCAAAGCAGGCTTTAGTATTTCTCTTGTCTGGCTTTAATAGCATTCGCCTCATACCTCTAAGATATTGTTTAGATCTAGTGTATTCTGTCATTTACTGTATCTCCATATACACCATCAGTTCTTTGGAGAAGGACCCCTGTCTTCTTTGCCTTCATATCTCTTCTGCTGCTCAGAACTTGATCCTCTACATTGATTGATTGGTTGTACTGGGGGTCAAACTCAGGACCTTGAGCTTGGCAGGCAGGCACTTAAGCTGCTGAGCTATCTCCCCAGCCCAACTCTCTACTTTTAGATGAAAATAAGAAATGCTAATTACTTTTTGAGTAGGTTAAAGGTCTTTAGCATAAACACATCAACTTTAGTGTGAGACATTATCACTTTCACTGACATATCTTACACAAGAACTTTAGCGTAAGACATTATCACTCTCACTTATATTGAAGGAGGTTTGGATTTATTTTTGGTGTGGTGAGAATTTAACCCCAGGCCTCACTCATGCTAGGCATGTACTGTACCACTGAACTATACTCCCAGCCCCTGAACAACTCTTAATAATTGCCTACTTGAATTTTATTGCTGGGCCGCAGAAGGCAGTGGTATACTTGGTCTTGTGGGTCATTTATTCAAGGGCTGGACTTTGAATAATAGTATGTAACAAAGTATGGGAATTTTCAAGGGAATTTCAGAAAACTGTATTAGCTGAAAAGATTCATGTAGTTGGCTCTTGAATACATTTTGTTACTGTTTCTATCACTAAGTAATGAATTCACTGCTTGTGTGTTTTTTAGTGTGTTTTTCTTTGACCAAAAAAACTAGTCACATTTTAATCTTTAGAAAAGGTTTTTAAGAAACAACATCAAGCTTAAAGCCATTTTTGTTTTGCTGTCATTGGTCCTTGTCCAATACAGATTAATTTATCATCCAGGTGAGCCAAGTACCCTCTGAGCCCAGGCATCCCTGGGCCCTGTGAGAACAGGCTCTACTTTTAAGTTTTATGCTACAAGTACTATAGTCTGTTTATCTCCCTCAAGATCAATACCGTAAGAGGAGCTGCAAGCTAGAGAAACATGTTTCTTAAGTTGTTTAATTAGAGCTATGCAATGTCAAAAAGACTCCAAAGAAATGTGAAAGGACTTTTTGTCACAGCACTTAAGAA